TGAGTGCATGTGTGCCCACACACACACACACACACACACACACACACACACACACACACACACAGTATATTCTGTCAATATTAGCCCCATTTTATTTATTGACAGAGTGCTTTTATAAACGTAGGCTCATTTGGTCTTCTAAACCAGTGGTTTCCTAAATAGGTTTCACAGGTCCTGGTGGTATGGGAAAGAAGAGTTCAACTTTGATATTTTAATTATTACTTCTTTTTACTATTACTCTGTGAAGTAGAATCCATATCAGAATAAGACGGTATATTTATTTATAGCATGCCTATGAAGGGGTGAGTGTACAGTATTTGTTCTTGATGTCCAGAGTGAGATCGACAAGGTGGCTGCCATTGATGCTACCGCCTCAGTGTTGCTAGACAAGGCTAGGGACCTACCCATATCAACAGCGTGGATGCTCGGGAGCCACTCAAGGCTTAGCAAGTCTCTAAGTTCTGAGGTGTAAAAATCTGTTTTCAGCCTCTCTTTCTTTTTAAAGGCAAGCATAGTGCATTTTTCCAGGGCACACTAAAGCTGGATAGTATCTGTTTTCACACTACAAAGTAGGAACGGCTCCACTTTAGAAAACCAAGGCTCAGAAAAAGGAAGAAATGTAAACCACTGGTTCATAGCAAGAGACACAGGGGACTCCAGGAGCAGTGTGACTAAATACCATATGTGTGTGACATGCTAAGCAACTGTCCTGGGGGTCAGAATTTCTGGACACCTGGACACCATGACTCTTGGCTGTTGCTTTGTGTAAAAAGCTAGCCCAAAGTACTTTCTCTACCACTTGAAATCAAGAGAAAGACAAGTGGGAGCCTTTTCACAAGGACACAGCCTTTGCTTTTCCTTCCTTCTTTGGGATTTTAAAGATTAAATTCAAGATGGCTGAAAACTGAGGCCACCAATCCCCTAACAGGTTTGCCTAAACATTGGCTTTCTTAAGATTTTTGACAGTTTGGGATTCCTGCTGTCAGGTGAACAAGGACTCAGTCTTCTACTCTGTGTCTACCCTTCCCCAACTCACCAGAAAGCCTGGTTCAAACTGAGCATGTGGAAACCTGATTCATGTGGGCCTGAGCTCCACCAGACTACAAACACACGTGTATGTCACAGGGACATGAGCCCACAGTCCAGTCATCATTCTGCAATCTTAAGGATGGCTCTTAAAGCTGTGTGCAGAGTGTTTATTCTTTCATTCAGTCAAGATTGAATTTAGTTACTGTTTGTGCCATACCCCATCTTAAGAGCATATGGCTCTTCAAGCTGTGTGCAGAGTGTTTATTCTTTCATTCAGTCAAGATTGAATTTAGTTACTGTTTGTGCCATACCCCATCTTAAGAGCATGGCCAATGGCACCTGTTTGGTGGGTGCTTTAGTGGGAAGGACAGCAGATAATTCACTTCACGAGGCTTACTTTCATATGCAGGTGAGTCAAACTTAAGTCAGCATCCTGACAAAGACAGCCTTGGCTACACAGTCCATTTAAGGCCAGCCTGGGCTACATGAGACTCCTTCTCCAAAAGCCAAAATAAAAATAAAAATAAAAGGTTACATTTCCATCATCAGGGAAAGCACTTACCATAAACAAATGTCAGCTTTTGTGTGTGTGTGTGTGTGTGTGTGTGTGTGTGTGTGTGACCATCTCTATAGTAGGAATATCTTTAAGTGGATGAGTTTAATCTAGAGAAAAAATAAAATAAAACCAGAGAGGGAGAATTATCTTTTCCATCATAAAGATGTATGCAAGATCAAGCCAGTCAGTATTCCAGCATGGACAGGAGATGGCTAATGGAATCACATCCCTAGCCAAGGAGATATTGACAATTGATGGCTGCTCATAGAGTCAGATTTCAAGTGTGGCCACTTGAAAGTTGCTCATTCTCCAATGGATGTCTCCACAACTCTGTATGTGCAGGCAGCACTAACTGAACTCAATGGTTATTTTATTAAAAAAAAAAAAAGACAAAAGAAAAGGGTATGAAGGTGGGAGGAGGATGTATGGTGGGGTTTGAGGGAGTGGAGAGTATTTAATACATATTGTAAACAAGCTTGTGTTGTGGCACACACCTTTAATCCCAGCACTCTGGAAGGCAGAGGCAGGTGGATCTCTGTGAGTTCAAAGCCAGTCTGGTCTACAGAGTGAGTTCCATGGCAGCCATGGCTATGTAGCAAGATCCTGTCTCAAAAGAAAAGAAAAGAAACAAGTCTGTATATCAAACATGTATGAAGTGTCAAAAATAAATACAAATTATTCTTTTAAAAAAAGACTTATGCAAATGAGAGTACCTTTTCTGAGAAGAAATCTCAAGTCCAAGCTACAGTCCTACATGCTATTAGGTGTCAGTGGTGACTAACCCAGGCAAGACATGAGATCTTTGCTCATCTTCCTGCATTTTGCACGCAATGTTACACATAAGAACTGCTGACAGCTTTCTCAGCCGAAAGGATGTACTGATGAGAGAGGCCTGAAGGGAGATGGGAGATGACAGGTGGCATCATCCACTGAGCTTTGACAAATAGGTATGTGCCATGCAAGACACCTAGATTCTCTTCACTCTTTTGAGGACCTGCCTTGACAATTAGACCAAATCTGAAACTATCTTTCCTTGGCAACCAAGTCATGAAAGTTTTGTAAACAGGACAATTCAGTTTCTACCACTGAGAGGTTAAATGTTAAGTCTTAGCTCTAGAAAGCAGAATGTAATAGTAAGTAATAAAACAATCCTGGGTTAGCAAGATGGCTTTGCCAGTAAAGGTGCTTGCTGCCACTGCTGGCAATCTGTGTTCCATTCCTGGGCTCCATATAGTTGAAGGAGAGAACTGAGTTCCACAAGTTGTTCTCTGATCTCCATATGCATGCAACACACACACACATTAAAAAAAAAAAACCTTAAATCAAAATTGGGATTTAATATTGTAAATTCCATGTGCTAGTCTGAGCCTGACTAGGTTGGTACCTCACAGTGGGTGTGCCTGTGCTTTCAAAATGTTCAAATGTTCCAAAGGGCTCCCTGTTTCCAGCATCACTCTTCTGATAACGTGCCCCCCAAGAACACACTACAAACACGAAATGCTGGTGGCAGTCAGACCACCCCTTAGAAGAAGCCAGAATGGGGAGGTTTTTCAGTCTCAGAGTCTTCTCTGAGGTCCTCAGGGAAAGCCTGAATGGGGGTAAAGGTGAACAGGGCCAAGACTACTTCATTAAAAAGGTTGGAATGCTTGGCTATCTATTAACATTCTCAAAGCTACTTTTTGCCAAAATGAATCTTTATGGCCTGAGAGAGCCGTCAGTGTTGGGAACTTAGCGGCCATCCTGAGAGTAACCTAACATGCACACATACTACAGTGCTTCTGGGACTGACAGAAAGTCATGTTTGCATCAATCCCTTCTTTACACAGCTCTGTCTGAATTTCCTTTTTGTGTCCATTTTGGGAATGTGACTGAAGCTGGGGTGGTGGCAGCTGTCAAGACTTCCTTTTCCTGGACCAAAGGCTTAAGGATGTTTTATGCCACACTCAATATCAGTGTCATCCTTGGATCTCTGGCAAACCAGTCAGTTGTACCATATGCCTGAGGGTTTAGGAGTTCTGATGTGCCAGAGACTGTAGGCTGCTCGCCTCAAAATCAATATCCATTCTCTCTTATCCATGGGAATTATATTCCAAATTGATGTGGGATACACGAGTACACAGCTTAATTGTTTTCTATTCTCTTTTCTCTCCAGCTAGATGTGGCCAAGTGATCAGATGCTAACCAACCTGGTAAAAATTGAAAGTGGGACAATACCCCCTTAATACAGAAGGGTTCCATGTGTGGCCCTTCCTTTTCCATTACCGTAAATGAAGGTCTACCTGTGTAAACTGGAGGAAACACCAATGGTCACTGATGGTCTGGGACACTCATATCCAGATTTGAGACAAGGCAGGGAGACATGTCTGTTATGATGCTTTAATGAGAACCAGACATTTAATGACACAAACCCCTCCATAAATGGCTTTTCTGCTCTAAAACACTCATGGACTTGAAACAAAAACATGACACACATTTTAAGAAGGATTTTGGCCAGCCACCCACATCCCAAAGGGGATTAAAAAGTAATAGTGTAAAAAAAAAAAAAGTTAAGGTCTAGGTGTTTTCATAGCACAGCTGAGGACTAACCCTTTGTCACATCTGCTCCACCCTGAAGGCCACAGAGCTGAACCTGATTGTCCCACAAGTGGTTAGTTAGTAGTTCCCTGGGTGACTGTCCCTGAAGTTAAGCTCTGGCACACAGTAGGCACTTTAACTGGATAGTCACCCTTTCTAGCTTGGGTGAAGTATTTGGCTCTCAAAAACAAGGTAAAGAAATACATTCAAACAGCACTGTCCATGTTTGTGTGCCCCTGGGATCAGGTGTGTGGGGGCATTCTCATGCACATCTGGACAGATGTTCTGGGGGAGCAACAGCACTGTCCATGTTTGTGTGCCCCTGGGATCAGGTGTGTGTGGGGGCATTCTCATGCACATCTGGACAGATGTTCTGGGGGAGCATCCAGGGCCAGCAAGCAAGCTGCATATGTTGTGGACATGGGCATGAAGGTCCACTCTTACTTTGATTCTCACATTCTGAATCAGAGTCCAGCTACAATAGAGGGATGCTGTTTACGACAAGCAGCCTGGCACAGGTACTGGCAATGGGATGAGAACAGATGTAAACATGTGGTGCAGCTGGTAAGGCTGCCTGGGCATGCCTGCAGAGTGGTTAGCTCGGTGTCCGTTCACTTATCTTTCTCTATCTGCTCAGCATGACTGCAGCTCACTCGCCTCACCTCACCCAGCCTTTACCCAGCCCATCCTCTAATCTGCCTCATCTGCATCTTCTCCTGCAGTAGCAGCTTCTAATGCTGCAAGGGCTTCGGCCACCTCAGCATCCTCATCTACAACTCCATCCCTGTCCCCATTGTAGGGGTGGGGGACTTCCTGCTCATTTCTAGAATCAACCACCGATGTAGGGTGAGTGGGACCCTCCTCTTTGAAGTAGACATTCAGAACTTCTGTTGTCACTGCCTCATTCAGTGAGTCCCAGCTTCTCTTGAGGGAGAAGGGCAGGCTCAAACCCTGCTCACTCATGCGGGGGTGAATTCCGGGCAGGGACTCCACCTCAGGGTGGTTCTCAAAAAGATAATCCTTTTCCGCAGGGTCTGCGTTGTCTACTGTGGGGTTCCAGAGCTGGGGGTAATCTGGGGCTGGTATGTGTAGGACATGGTCCGCCGCTGCCAAGACCTCAGCAGGGGCTTTGAAGTCTCCATGGGCTACCATCTGGGTCTCCTCTGAAGTGGGAACCATGCAGCTTTGCTTCCTGCAGTCCTCTTCTTCAAGGAAGGGCTGAGCTGGGTGTGTGCTGTCTATGGTGCCTTCCCAGGGGCTGCTGGCCCAGGAGACACTGTCAACCTGGTGGGGTCTGGGACTCCTGACCAAATGCAGAGTGGCAGTGGGGCTGATACCATTGACAATACCATGCTTCTCCACACAGTGTCTCTCTTCTGAGTCCTCCTGAGGGAGTGATCCTTGGTGAGGTAGACCAGCTGTACCATCTCTGTTCTCTGTATTGGTCAGGCTCTCACCATGCAGGGCATTCCTGGGCACTTCAGCCTCACTGTTTTGGGTGCCTTTTAGTCTGACAGTGTCATCCTCATCCAACTTGCAGTTGTTTACCTCGTTGACAAAACCAGGAGAGGGCACTTGAACTGGATCAAAGAGATAGCTGGGGGTGAGAGGAGTAGGCATCAGTTATATTGACATTGGGACAGATGAGCTGGGGAAGGAACTAGCTCCTGGGATTGTGTCTAAAAGAATAAATATACTTGGCATACAAATCTTTGGCTCATGAAAAGAGCTGAGGGGACCCAAAAGGAAGGGATAGGTGAATTATAAAAGCAGTTTATGGAATTTAAAAATATAAATTAAAAAGTTCACTAACAGGGAAATAAGGGGTAAAGTACCAAGTACCAACTGTGTATTTCTCCAATGGAATATGATATAGTCATGAAATGATAAGTATGAAGTTTGTGGTAGGGTGAAAGAAACGATCACTGAGGGGTTAGTTCCAGGACTCTCATACATAACAATATTATCTGTAAATGCTCACATTTTTCATATGGAATTATGGCATATCAGCATATGTATACCCTCATTACACTTCGAGTCATTTCTAGATTCCTTATGCCACCTAAGGCAAAATAAATGCCATATAGACTATCTTCAACTTGTACTGTTTAGGAAGCAACAAGAAAAAAGACCAAATATTCAGCACAGACTTGGTTTCTTTTCTGAATATTTGAATCTAAGCTTGGTGGACTCTGGGCCTGTGGAGTCCATGGATGTAGAGAACTAATGCTGTCATTAATAGATACTTTTGAATAAAGACCACTACACATGGCTTTGATGGAGTAAAGCTTATAAGTGTGTGTTTGGAATCAAAGTCAGAGCTTCCTGGTGCCTTGCCCCCCACAATCCCCGGAAGTCATGTCATCAGTTAATCTGTTTTCCTTATGATTCATATAACTCAAAGTTTTATGAATGTCACAAGAAAGGTGACTGGACTCTTTATTGTCAGTGATGTCATTTCAGTTCTCTATAACCTGAGCTTTAAAATGTCATTTATTTATTTATTTATTTATTTATTTATTTTGCATTGAAGGCTTTGTGAGAAACATAAATTCAACTGAAATAGAATTTGACCTCAAGAGTGATGGTATGTCTAACAGTTTTGGGAAATGGGAAAATTAAAAAAAAGTCTAGTTTGTAAATGATGCCAAATGGAGCCAAGCCTTCATGTCTTGGCAATGTGGGTCAAACCTGAGCTGCCTAAATGCACTGATGGTGTCACAATTTCATTTTTGAGCTGCTGTCACATGTATTATCTTTACAGATTTATTTATTTCTATGACTCTTGCTATTGCTTTCACATCTGCCATTGGACAAAGCAATGGGTTTTAATATGACATTTTCATACCTGTATATAATTGACTTTGATTACATCCACCCCCCATCCTCTAGTAGGTCCTCCCATGCCCACTTGTCCCATTTTCTTCCTAGAGTCCCTCTTCTACTTTTATGCCTTATTTTAGTCTTAACATGACTATAGAACTACTACAAATTCCCTTGCGAATGCCAACTGTGTTCACTTTACCTGTGAATCATCTTACAACACCTGCACCCCATCTGGATTAATTTTTGTTATCATCTGAAAGAATAAGAAAAAGAGAATGTCATTAGCCATATTAGTGAGAATCAAGTTCAATATTTTTAGACACTCAAAATTAAGATCTGTAAGTTCTGGTCAAAGGATAGCATGTGAATCATGAAGACAACCGCTCCCCACCCCCGAGTCTCTAAAGTCATGGATTCCAAATCTTTAAACATTCTTTACACTTGATTCACTCAAACCCCTTTTCAGCCACCCAGACTTTGTATTTCACCCCCATCCACATCTGAGAAAAACATGATGGAATAATGTCAGGGAGCAAAGGGACCCATGATGTTTAGTAACCTGTGGCCTTCCTCAGGGACCTAGGGATCTTCCTGAACACAACACGGCTCAGCAGCTGGACATGCAAACATTCCTAGAGGATTCCTTGCCATCTCAGGTATTAAGATGGCAATAGTTTAAATACTGAATATCCATCAAAGGCCCATGTGTTGAAGGTTTGGTAGCCAGCCTGGGAGGTGGTGGGCCTTTTAGAAGGTGGAGTTCCGTGGACAGAAGTTAGATCATTAGGGTGGTATACCTTTGAAGAGAGTATTTGGACCCAGTACTCTCTTTTTTTCTTTTTCTCAGCTGCCTTGAGGTGACCAAGTTATTTTCGGTCACGTGATCCTACCATGATGTACTATACTGACATAGCCTCAAAAACATGGCCAATTGCCTGAAACTTCTACAACTGAGAACCAAAATGAACCATTCCGTCTGGGAACAAAAGTAAACCATCCCTTCTTTTTATTTTATAAGCAATCTTATTTTACATATCAGTCCCAGTTCCCTCTCCCTTCCACATTCCCACTCCCCCCACCATCTCCTGACCCCACCCCCATCCACTCCTCAGAGACAGTGAGGTGTCCCAAAAGCATCCCTTTTGTTTGTTTGTTTGTTGTTTTTGTTTTGAGGCAGGGTTTCTCTGTGTAGCTTTGTAGACCAGGCTGGCCTCGAACTCAGAGATCACCTGCCTCTGCCTCCTGAGTGCTGGGATTAAAGGCATGAGTTGCACCACCACGGGCCAGGCTCAAATCATCCCTTCTTATCTGTTGGACTGGCTCAGGCATTTTGTCAGAGTCATGGAGAGCTTGCTAGCATAGAGAGTGAATATTAAAGATGGATGAACATGTGTTTGCTGAATCAGCCCTTTGATGTGGTACGGCCCGAGCAGGATGCCAGTGTTAGCTTAGCCGGAAGCAGTGTGCTCCTGATTTGCCGTCTCCATAGCCAGCACAATCCTAGTTATCACTCATGAGTTCCATCTGCTTGCAGGTCAATACCATGTCCCCTGGGGCTTCCTGGTGAAGGTGGTGGACTCCTTTCCTGCCTGCTCATCGTGTCCTGCTCCTTCCTAGGTTGGATTTTCTCCACCACTTCCCTTTGAACAGAATCTTCTTTTCATGTAAAGCTGGCCACCTGGGCCTGTTGGATTCCTCGGTGAATCCCAAATGTTGATATGGGAGGACATCTAGGTGGTTTTCCGTTTCTTACGTGTACACCCTTTCAGATGACAAATGGACACTGGGACCTTCAACCTAGTGCCTCTGTCTGTAAAGTTCATTTGGAGGAGAGATGATTTGCCTGTGGCTGTCTTCCTGCCTCCCTCCTTCCTTTCAAGTATAGACTCCCAGGATGCTAGTTTCTAAGCCTCAGTCAATAGGGAAAACATCTGCAGCTGCTATGAACTACAGGGTGGTTGGTTGGTTACAGGGGATTCGATTTACTATGGTGATCACACAAAATACACTATCTATGCAGTAAGTGGAAAACTTGTTTCCTAAAAGATCCACCCACTTGAATCCTTGGGATCTGGGAATGTTACCGTGGTCAAAGCAAGCGATCGAACAAATGTGGATATGATCAAGTTGAGGACCTCAATATGGGAGGTTCCAAAGTTCAATTATATTTGTGCTCCTAAGCCAAAGGCAGAAGGAGATCTGGTCCCAGACAGAAGAGGGAGAGAGACAATGTGACTGTGGAGGCAGAAGAGAGGGGAGGGGCACATTCCCCTGAGGAACAGGGACTACATTCACCCCTGGGAGTTTGGCAGCAATGGGGCCCTGTTCACACTTAGTGTCCTTTAGTGCAACCCACTGATGCCAATTCTAAAAGCTCTGGCTGCTTGTCTGAAAACCCCAAGTTTGTGGTGGTTTTTCTGCAGCACAGGAAGTGGTTATATACCCAACCCCCCTTTCCCCAAGCACTGAATCCCTTAGATAGTGAATTTGCATGTCCACTTGGCCACCCAGCCATCGCTCTTCATCTTCCCACTTGGTTATCTTTGATTTGTCTCCCTAGCATGTGCTACTCCTAGATATGTCACAGATTATTTATGATCCATCTTCATGATGGAGTCAGCTCTCACTCTTTATCTTCCCACTTGGTTATTTTTGATTTGTCTCCCTAGCATGTGCTACTCCTGGATATGTCACAGATTATTTATGATCCATCTTCATGATGGAGTCAGCTCTCCAAGCCTTATTTGTGTTTTTAAAACACACACACCTTATACTCACAAAACATGCACTCTAGTTGCCAAGACACAGGCCTTAGCAACACTAAGAAGTAGCTGTTTCTGGAAAAAAGACCAATGGTACAGGTCTGTCAATCATGACATCAAGTGCTAAACATACATACACCCAAGCACAACAGCCCTGAAGAGAAAAAAGGGATGGATGCTTCAGTAGCAGCACATAAACACACACACACGGGGGTGAGGGAGGAGGGATGGGGGTGAGAGGAGGGAGAGGGACAAGGGATTGACATGTGAAACAAGCTTGTTCCTAACTTGAACTAATAAAACACACACACACACACACACACACACACACACAGAGAGAGAGAGAGAGAGAGAGAGAGAGAGAGAGAGAGAGAGAGAGAGAGAGCTTTTAGGATTGTGCTTCTAGCACTATCTCCCCACTGCCTCACTTTTTGCTCATAGATGAGAAGGATAAATAGATTAGGTTAGAAAGTACCATGCACAGCCGGGTGGTAGCGCAAGCTTTTAATCCTAGCAGTCGGGATGCAGAGGCAGGCGCATCTCTGAGTTCGAGACCATCCTGGTCTACAAGAGCTAGAAACCCTGTCTCGAAAAACCAAAAAACAAACAAAGAAAGTACCATGCACATCTTTTCCCTCCTCATTGCAGGACTGGCTCTGAAATCCTGACCTGCAATGCCTTTGCTTACTTTAGAGTCTTGTTTTAAAAAAACATCCAGATAGGAAGGTAACTAGTGAAGACAAAGTTGAAGAAAAGGAAAAGGGGTGGGGGGCTCAGCAGTATTTGAGAAACCAAAAAGGACAGACTGCAGACAGTCCTATAACTGAAGCATCATAAAACATTAACAAGTTGGTCAGCTTTTGGGGTTCTAATTTAGCAGCCAGAAGAGAGGGAGAAAGAAGTGGGGGGGGCAGTTGGTCCCTTCCAGCTTCCTAGTGGCTGCTTAGATCCTGGGGACCAATTACCTAGTGAAGCTTGAAAGTCTTTCCCCACCTTCTGCTGGGCTCAGGCCACAGAGTAAATTGCTTAGAGATGCAAGAATGGCTGGGATTTAACATTCCTCCTCCAAAACCACTGATTTCCCAAGATGGGCAGACAGACAGAGGTGGACAAGCTAGAGATCAAACCCAAGGCCTTCAACTGCATATGTGTTTCCTGCAGTCTTCTGGCTTGCCATCTCTCCTAGGGAAAGACAGGATCCATACCGCACTCCTAAACCTTCAATTACAGGCTATGTGAGTAGCCCTCTTGAGAGTCATCTTCCCATCTTTTCTCTCGAACCACCTCCCTTAGGGTCCACCTCTTGGCGTTCCTTCAGGTCCAGCTTGGCGTTCCTTCAGGTCAGCTTCAGGTCCTGAGAGCCATGCTTTTGAGTCGGGTACCAAATTGAGCTGTGGGACACTCTTCCTGGTATAGGTCCTGCCCTCTTTCCAGTCTGTGATTTCCTTTCCTGGTGACATTCCTTCTCTCAACTGGCTCTAATGTTCAAAGTTCTATGACCCGAAGGTGAACAGGGTGGGGACTAAGGTACTTACCTCTCCCCAGCTCACACCCATATCTTCTATTATTCTTCCTTATACATATTAGGGCTAGTTTAATCCATTTCCCGTACCTATATCAATATCTTATCCCTATCTTTCCTGGAACAAGGAACTCTCTGAGCAAAAGGGAACATCCTTCCTCCAGCATGGGACATGGAATTAGAAAAATACCAGCCCTTGGTGAGAGACCACGTTCCAAAGGAGCAATCTACCTGCCTTCTTCATTCCTGCTTGACTTTTGGAAGCAGCTGCCTAATTTATAGGGGGAGCCCTTGATAGCTAAGGGGAATCCAAATTTACCTTGTCTTTGGAGTGATATAAACAGCAACAGGGAAGCAAAGGGCACAGCTTTTGCAGCCAGGGTTTGGTTTACACAGGGGAAAAGCAAATACCATTAGGATGGCTGAGTCCACCTACTGCTGGCGCCACCTGCTCCCAGACTCCTGCATACTGCAAACTGTCCCATGTTTTGTGTTGAAGTTAAACAGCCCCGTGTTTGAAGATGGTCAGGGCTGCATTAGTTAGTGGTGAAATTTCCAGGCAAGAAAATCCTGTTTCACAATGGGAATGGGGGTAGGGAGAGCAGAACAGGGGGAGTCTTGGCTTTTTGTAATAGAGAAATCGACAGCATTCATCAGGGCGCCAAGGGGTAAGAGCTGGTGTAGAGAGTGAGTGCTTGGAGCCAGCTTAGTTTGGTTCTACTGGCCAAGTCTGGAGTCATCAGACCATCAAAACAAACAGGACTATCAAGGATTCTAGCCCACTGAAGAAAAAGATGAGCCATGAGACCACAGTGAGATGAGTGCAAAATGGAAAGTGCCAGCTCTGTCATGCAAGTAGGAAAGCAGCTAACAAATATATATGGAGTAAGGGAACTAGAAAGATCACCATTTATTACTCCTCATAGTAACACAGGATCCAAGTAAGA